GATAAAATATTAGATGTAATATATATGACTGTAATAGATCTATACCTCATCCATATCTCATGTTCTCAAGCACATCTGTACCTTACAAGACTATGATATTAAAAGGGATTCTATTTATGCAGAAAGAATGAATTTTAAAACAACATAGTTTATTTTAAGGCTTCATAGTTTAAAAATATTCATGGAGTTTAACTTTTCTCCCAGAAGTAATATGTGCTTTGACATTTATAATTTATAATTAATTATTTTAATTAGAAAACGTTTTCCTAGTAGTGGGAGTATAAATTGCCATAGTCCTCCAGGAAATAAGCTGATAATATTTACTTCAAGCACTAAAATATTTGTACCCTATGGACTACTCTTTAATTTATAGGAATTTGACCAAAGAAATAGTAAAAAATATACTGCAAAGAATTTGTGTAAAATGATATTGTTCATAAAATGGAAACTACCCAAATTTTAAGTCATTTTGTACCAATTAATTATGCTATGTTGATATGATGAAACTACGTACGTGATCTCCAATTATCTGATAATTTATACTCAACACAGAAAATGTTAACAGAAATTTTTATTAATTCACCATTTATCATTCAACAACACTAAATCTTGATTTATTTACATCAAAAGATTCTGAGTGACTAGCTATCCCAAGATGATGGAATTATGATCCTTGTTTCTTCATTAGCTTCCATTTTCAATTTATGTCTTCCACATCTTTATATTAGCATGTTAATTTTTGAAATTATAAATTTAAAAACATTTAAAATCTGGATACATTCTTTTTATCCAGTACCTATCTTTTGCTTATCTGGAGAGTGCCTACAGATAAAAATTAAACTTTCTCTTTAAGAGATAATCTGTAGGGGCTGGTGCAATAGCACAGCGGGGAGGGCGTTTGCCTTGCACGCGGCAGACCCGGTTCGGTTCCCAGCATCCCATATGGTCCCCTGGGCACCTCCAGGAGTAATTCCTGAGTGCAGATTCAGAAGTAACTCCTGTGCATCGCCGGGTGTGACCCAAAAAGCAAAAAAAAAAAAAAAAAAAAAGAGATAATCGGTAAAAAGTCATTGCCAATCATCAGATGCTAGTTGATGTTATATTATCCTATTACAAGGGATAGAGCCACAAGGTTTCTTAGAGAAAATGCAGTATTTTAGAAATAAAAATAATCCTTTTTCTTTATTACAAACCATTGTCATCTTTTTCATTTAGTATTAAAGGAGTTTTTGTCTCTCAACATGAATATAAGGAACCTGATATATAAATATTTTAGGATTAAGCCCACATTTTGTTATCTATTATAGTAATAAATGCTCTGGATAGGGCAACAAGAAGCACCATTAGTATCTTAAAATAAAATAAAGTTAAGCTAAAATAAATTTAAACTAAAATGATGCTAATTTGTGGAAGTGTTTTACAAAGTTATAGAAGTGTTACAGAATCTCAGACTGTAGGATGAGTCTTTGGAAATAAATTTAAGGATATTAATACTCTGAGCCATGTGAAATACTTTATTCCCATACCATCAGGAAGGAGAGGATTGTTGTCACTGTAAATATCAAATTCAAGAGCTTATCAGTGTGTTGTTAACTCAAGTACCAGGAATAAATGGTAAATCTTTTTGTTATCCACACTGGTTTGATCTCTAGGAAAATGAGTTCTACCATTTCCAATTCCACTGCCTCTCAACATCTTGTGACTGCACACTGAAAAATAAAAAAAATCTCACTTAAATATACCCTGAGGGTGCAAAAAATCACAGTAGAAATGGAATCTGCACCTGTATGTTTATTGCATCACTGTTCACAATAGCCAGAATCTGAAAACAACCCGAAAACCAAAGAACAGACCACTTGTTAAAGAAGCTTTAGTATATCTACACAATGGAATACTACGCACCTGAAAGGAAAGATGAAGTTATAAAATTTGCTTATAAGTGGATGGTCATATAGAGTATCATGCTAAGTGAAATAAGTCAAAAAAGAGAGAGGAACAAACATAGAAAGATTGCACTCATTTGTGGAATATAAAATAACATAATATGAGACTAATGCCCAAGGACAGTAGAGAGAAGGGCCAAGAATATTGCTCCATATTTGGAAGCCTGTCTCATGAGCTGGGGGAGAAGGCAGCTTGAATAGAGAGGAGATCACTAAGTCAGTGATGGTTGGAGGAACTGTTCGGGATAGGAGATGTGTGCTGAAAGTAGATAAAGGACCAAACCTGATAGCCTCTCAGTATCTATATTGAAAATCATAATGCCCTATAGTAGAGAGAGAATATGAGGAAAATTGTCTACCATAGAGGCAGGGGAAGAGTTGGAAAGGAGGGGTATACTGGGGATATTGGTGATGGAGAATGTGCATTGGTGGAGGGATGGGTGTTCAATCATTGTATGACTGAAATTCAAACATGATCGTTTTGTAACTATCTCACAGTAATTCAATAAAAAATAATCTCCTTGAATGTCTTATAGTAGAAAGGGCTTGCAAAAAAAGTAATTAAATGAAAAGGAAAAAAAGACAGCACAATACCTTCCACTTCATTTCAATGTTTCAAATTTCACACAAGAGCATCTATTCAACAGAACCTGCATTTCAAAAGATAAGTAGAAAATATTCTCTTCTTCTTAACAGTCTTTGAAGTATATAGTAAAGACATGTTAAAACAAGTTTGCAATTAAAGCAAAGGCGAACTAACCACCATTTAAACATTTGTGAGTAAACTATGGAATATTGGGAATAAACCAAGCAATAAACCATGATTTACAATAGATCATAGAATGAAATTCTCCTTTTTCTCTGAGCTATTTTAGTGATCTAACTAATTTAACATTTCATTATGTCATGGCAAAGGAAGACAAAACAAGGATGTTTAATGCGGCCTGAATATTTCAGAGAAATCATAAGAAAAATGATCAGGAAATCTCAGAAGAGGGTAAATGTCTCCAAAACCAAGTTAATGTACTTTAAGATTTCTAAGAACATATTCCCTATCCCATTCTCCATTAACAAGAGGGCTAGGGTTGTTTTGTTTTGGAAGGATGTAAAAAGTGCAATAAGACCATGCTGATGTCAGAATTTGTTAGTGCTTTAGTTATGATTTTAGTTTCTTTTTTCTAGCTTATTGAAAAAGATACACTTATGTTACCTGTTTGAGGTGCTAGACTTTTAATAAAAATAAGACTAATAATTTTTCCCAGTTAAGTGCTGTATTGAAATTTTGCTTTCAAACTATTATTAATAGCCTAAATAAAAACTGAATGAAAAAAGAATCAAAAATATAACTACAAGTCCTGGAAGATAATTCAAAGTGCTAGTTGCATGACTCATTTATGGGAGGTCCAGAGTTTTTCTTGAGCACCATAGTGTCCCCCAGGTACCACCAATAGTAACACCTAACACCTAAGTGGGTGCTGCCCTTCCACCCCCCATCTGAACAAAATATAGAAGTTTTAAACTAACACTAAATACACAAGAACTTCTAGGTGCTTTTCACACACATGCAAGAATTTATTTTCAACCCTAATGGGGTAATGACACAGAAAATAAATGTCCACTGAATTTTTATATTTTTTAAATGTATACTTTTGTTGTTAGAACGAAATTCTTACAACACTGCTCTAAAATCTAATTACATTATAATTACATATTTTGTTCTTCTTCTTTTTAAGTAAAATATACTTGTCTCCTGTTTAGAGATATCTGGAGCTTCAGGAAATACTAATAAACAGTCAGAAATTTAAAAAATTGATAATGAAAGAGAGGAAAATTTAGCCACAAAGAACAGAACTGAACAAGAGGCTTCATGGAAACTGAACAGGGAAAGAAAAGGTAAGACCCACATTCAGAGAGAGCACTATAAAAACTTGCACAATTGAGCTACAATGACTCCAAGAAACTACACAAACTGTACTGTAAATATCCTGTGTTTGTGAAATATTCGCTCTTCTCTTTCTTTTTCACAGGTTTAAATAAAATTACTCTTTAATGCTCCATTAATTTCTGCCTCATGAATAAACTGTATCTGATCAAATTTAGATAAAATCATTTTCTTCCTCTTCTGACAATGATCACCATACTCATAGTTAATGTTAAATTGAACGTGTGGATATCTGCTTCACGTATGAAAATAAATACCTTGCTCAATTTTTAGTTTGCCAGTAGCATATAATACCTTGCCTGCCATATGACCATCAGTGAACAGTAATTTCCTTAATATGAATCTGTCTCTTGGAACAAATATTAGCACCAAAAGCATGCTATTAAAGAATGCAAGAATTTATACTCCAGTATCAGACAAAAAAATATTTTGGTCCTGCCTTGGACAATGGGTAACAACTCACTAGTTATAATTTCCTCATCTATAAAATGTGATGTTCATACGATCATTCATTCATTCATTCATCATCCTGTTATTCGTCGATTGCCTCGAGCAGGCCCCAGTCACGTCTCTTTAATCCTAGCCCTGAGATTATATTCAAGGCTCTTTAGGAGAATGATTAATGAATGATGAATGGCATAATATACATAGAAAGATAGTAATATAGAATAAAATTATTATGACTGAGCTTATATTATAGTTAGTTGTATAATAGCAACTACATTATGCATAGAAAGGGGAGTTCCATAAGATATGGAATCAATATATCTCAGTTTAACATAATGTCTGGAAAATGGGAAATTAATAAAATTCAGTTGAACTGCGTGTTAAAGATGTGCATCTTTCATTAAAATAACACCAAACAAATTGGTGTTTTAATTGCCTTGTCCCTATATAGCTTAGATCACCTGACACAACTCCAGGGAAATATTTAATGTTTTTAATAAGACAGTTAATAAATCCTTTAAGAAGTATACTGACCACATACATGGCAGGATTTGGTGATTAAAGAGAATTATTTAGAGTCTAATATTCTCCAAAACCTAGCAAAAGTGACATTTTGCTTCATAAACACATGGATGCTTTATTGTGTAACTTAAAATATGGATAAAGAATTAAAGTCTCCGTGAAGAAGCTGCAGGAGCTCCAAAAAGCCTTCTCAGTGCAGACTTCATATCATTGTTCCTGAGGCTATAGATGAAGGGGTTCAGCATAGGAGTTACCACTGTGTAAAATATAGCTGCCACCCTGTCCTTCCCCCCTGAGTGTGATGAAGGGGGGCATAGGTAGACACCGATTGCCGCCCCATAAAAAAGGAAGACAACAGTGAGGTGGGAGCCACAGGTGGAGAAAGCCTTTTGCCTGCCTGAGGCAGATGGGACTCTAAGGATAGTGGAGATGATCCGTGCGTATGACAAAACAATCAATGAGAGCGGGCCAGTGAGTATCATGGAGCCCACAATGAACAGAGCTACCTGGTTAGTACCAGTGTCTGAGCAGGAGAGCTGAAGCAGAGGGACAACATCACAAAAGAAGTGATGGATAGTGTTGCCTGCACAGAAGGAAAGCCTGGCCATAAGCAGGGTGTGTAAGAGGGCAGCGAGGTTCGTGAGCACCCAGCAGACTGCAAGGAGGATCAGGCACATAACAGGACTCATGAGTGTGGAATAGTGAAGAGGCCGGCAGATAGCCACATAGCGGTCATAGGCCATCACTCCCAAGAGGAAGTCATCCAGTGCCCCAAATGTCATGAAAAAGTGCATCTGGGCCAGGCATCCTTGGTATGAGATGGTCTGACTATGTGTCTGAATGTTCACCAGCATCTTGGGGATTGTAGTGGAAGAAAAACAAGCATCAGCAAAAGAGAGATTGGCCAGAAAGAAGTACATGGGAGTGTGCAGGTGTGGGTCAAACTCAATGGCCAGAATAATGAGCAGGTTCCCCATGACAGTGACCAGGTACATGCCTAGGAAGACGCTGAACAGGAGGAGCTGCTGCTCAGCACTTTCGGAGAAACCCAATAGGAGGAATTCAGTGACACTTTGGTTTGCTTCAGTCATTCCCCTTGTGTTTTCTGAAAGAATAAAGATATGTCAAATACTATAGAAAAGATGCCTTGACTAGTCCACTGTAAAATAGATCATTCACCAAATTCATGTTTCTTTTACCCAAGTGTTAGTCCCTTTCCTCCAAGACCTACACCTATCCCCTATTCAAGGAATGGCAAAAGGTCATAGAAATTAAAATGCAGATATAAGGTGATTGGTTCTTTTTTTTTTTTTTTCGCTTTTTGGGTCACTCCTGGTGATGCACAGAGGTTACTCCTGGCTTTGCACTCAGGAATTACTCCTGGCGGTGCTCAGGGGACTATTTGGGATGCTGAGAATCAAACCCAAGTCGGTCACTTGCAAGACAAATGCCCTACCAGCCCCAAAGGTGACTGGTTCGGATTGAACAATAGAGATGCAAATTATCTCTATCTTTGCAAGATATTCCCCAATATCCATAGTTCCTGACTTCCTAGACTTCAATTTATCAGACAGGCAGTGAATGGCTACCTTGAACCCTAAGCAATGCACAATGTAGCATCTAAGTGAATACTCATAAATTTTACTAGAAACATTTTACAAATGAAGTCCTAAAATTCAGATTAATTTAGTCATTTGCACATCAAAAATGAGATGTTAAATACAGATTGAGACCCTAATCACCACGAATCACAGCTATTGCTGAGTCCATCTCTGTGCTCTGGTGCAGATAAAAATAGTTCACTCCGAATTGTCGCCAATACTTATCTGAAAGACAGGAGGCAGGAGTAACTGGCAGAGATTTTTTAGGCCTCAGAAGGAAAATCAAATATGATCCTTTCTTGCAGCATCCACCACACAGCATTTGTCACCAAAGAAACCCACCTTAAACCTGCAGCTCTTTTCCCGTCCCTTAAATCACACAAAGAACGCTTCTACAGAGCATGAGAAGAGGGAAAAGATCCAGGGGATTCTGATTGCTTTAGTTAAGCTAAAGAGCAGTAACTCAGATTTCAGAGACTCGATGTTCTTCGTGCACACTGTCACAGAAGTATTTCTAGGTTCTGGGTCTCTGGGGTAAAATTTTCCCAATTGATCCTTAGAGGAAACCATGAAGTAATTACTGAAATTTCACACGTTCGTTCCTTAGACCATCACTTACTGAAGAGCATGAAAAGAAGTGAAGAGTATTTATAATTTTGCACTTGATAAAATCTGTCCCCAGGGATAGAAGTACATTTGTTTTTTAGCATAGTGGTTTCTTTGGACATCTTCTGGGAAAGCTGGAAGGCATGCTAATGGGAATCAGAATAAGAGGTAGTTTACAAAAAAAAGTAGTGCTAAGCCTGGCCCTGACCACTTTGGGTGTGTTCTATTAGTCTTTGGGTTTCAAGCTCTTGATAAGTGGGTTATTATTATTATTATTATTATTATTATTATTATTTATATTTTCTTTTTAACTTAGATAATTTTTATTTGCAAAAAAAATCATAGATGCAGATTAAAACAACAATGAGATATCATTTCACACCACAGAGACTGGCCCACATCCAAAAGAACAAAAGCAATCGGTGCTGGCGTGGATGTGGCAAGAAAGGGACCCTTCTTCACTGCTGGTGGGAATGCCGACTGGTTCAGCCCTCCTGGAAAACAGTGTGGACGTTTCTCAAAAAATTAGAAATCGAGCTCCCATTTGATCCAGCAATACCACTCCTGGGAATATGTCCCAGAGAGGCAAAAAAAAAGTAAAGTCGAAGTGACATCTGCACTTGTTTGTTCATTGCAGCACTCTTTACAATAGCCAGAACCTGGAAAAAACTTGAGTGCCCGAGAACAGATGATTGGTTAAAAAACTTTGGTACAGCTATACAATGGATTACTATGTAGCTGTTAGAAAAGATGAAGTCATTAAATTTACATACAAGTCGTACTACATGGAAAGTATCATGTTAAGCAAAATGACTCAGAAAGAGAGAGATAGACATAGAAAGACTGCATTAATCTGGGGAACATAGAGTAACAAAATAGGAGACTAACACCAAAGAGTGGCCGAGATTAGTACCAGGAGTTTTGCTCCATGGCTTGGAGGCCAGCCACGCATACTAGGGGAAAAGGGAGCTCAGTTAGAGAAAGGAGCACCAAATAAAGGGTGTTGGGAGGATCCTCCCAGGATGGGAGAAGCATGCTAAAAGTGGACTATAGACCAAACATGATTGCCACTCAATGTCTCTTTTGCAAACCGCAACACCCAAAATGAGAGAGAGAACAAAAGGGAATACCCTGCCACAGAGGCAGGGTGGAATGGGGGGGTGGGGGGTGGGAGGCATACTGGGACCCGTGGTGGTGGCAAATGGGCACTGGTGGAGGGATGGGTGTTTGATAATTGTACAGTTGAAACCCAAGCACAAAAATCTGTAAATCTACAATTGTACCTCATGGTGTTTCACTAACAAAAATTTTTTAAAAAAATGTAAATGATGGAGAATGGGCGCTGGTGGAGGAATGGGTACTGGATCATTGTATAACTGAAACCCAAGCACAAAAATTTGTAAGTCAGCCTATGCCCTCAAAACTAGAATGCTTACAACTGTGCCTCATGGTATTTCTTTAATAAAAATTTTAAAAAAAGAAAGTGTGAAGAAAAAGCAAATAAATCCCAATAAAAGGAAAAAAATACCATAACAGGTAATTAAAAATTTATGGTAATTTCTATAAAAATCAAAAAATATATGCAGATAAGAGAATTATGAGCTTTCACACAATGTGGAGATAGTAGGCTGTATGGAGTCTTGACATAAGGAAATTTGTTTTCTTGAGGGAGAATATTGAAGAAAGGATGAATTTAAATCTGCTCTCATAAAGGCACATGAGAAAATACTCTACATCACTAATCATCAGGGAGATGCAAATCAAAACAATGAGATACCATATCACACCACAGAGACTAGCTGACATCCAAAAGAACAAAAGCAACCAGTGTTGGCACGGATGTGGCGAGAAAGGGACCCTTCTTCACTGCTGTTGGGAATGCTGACTGGTTGAGCCCTTTTGGAAAACAATATGGACAATTCTCAAAAAAATAGATATTGAGCTCCCATTTGATGCAGCAGTACCACTTATGGGAATATATCCTGGAGTGTCAAAAAAGTACTGTGAAATGACATCTGCCCTTCTATGTTCATTGCTACACTGTTCATAGTAGCCAAAATTTGGAAAAAACCCGAGTGCCCGAGAACAGATGACTGATTAAAGAAACTTTGGGACATCTACAGAATGGAGTATTATGCAGCTGTTAGAAAAGATGAAGTCATGAAATTTACATAAAGTGGTACTACATTGAAAATGTCATGCTAAGTGAAATGAGTCAGAAAGAGAGTGACAGACATAGAAAGATTGCATTCATCTTGGGAACATAAAGTAACAAAATAGGAGACTAACATCGAAGAATGGTCAAGACAAGTACCAGAAGGTTCATCCCATGGCTTGAAGCCCAGCCACACATGCTAGGGGAAAAGGAACCTCATATAGAGAAGAGAACACCAAGTAAAGGGTGTTGGGAGGATCCTCCCAGGATGGGAGATGGATGCTGAAAGTAGACTATAGACCGAACATGATTGCCACTCAATGCCTCTTTTGCATACCACAGCACCCAAAAAGGGAGAGAGAGAACAAAAGGGAATGACCTGCCACAGAGGCGGGATTGGACGGGGATTAGGTATGGGGGTAGGAGGGATACTGGAATCATTGATAGTGGAGAATGGGCACTGGTGGAGGGATAGGTACTCCATCATTGTATAACTGAAACCCAAGCACAAAAACTTGTCATCTACAACTGTTCCTCATGGTTTCACTAATAAAATTTTTTTTAAAAGTATCTAAGGAAATTTCATAACTAAAATAAGTTCTACTATAATAAAGAAGTGAAGAATTATATATTTCAGGGGCTGGAGTGACAATACAGTAGGTAGGGTGCTTGCCTTGCACACAGCTAACCCAGGTTCAATTCCAAGCAGTTCATTTGGTCCCCGAGCCCACCAGGAGTGACCCCTGAGTGCAGAACCAGGAGTAAGTCTCAAGCACCTGTAATGTGGTTCCAAACAAAAATCAAAAAATCAAAACAAGAGTTGAAATTTCAGAAATTAACAGAAAATACAGTCTTAACTAGAATAATTCCATGAAATCACTAATCAATTATAACTCAGAGAAAATTACAAGGCTAAATACTAGAGAAAAAAAAGATTTCATCTAGTTACCACATTATAATACTTAAAATATCTAGCTTTCAACGAAAAAATAAATCATGTTAGGAAAAATGAAGTCATGAAATTTGCCTATAAATGGATGGACATGGAGAGTATCATGCTGAGAGAAATGAGTCAGAAGTGGGACAAATATAGAACGACTGCATTCATTTGTAGGATATTTTTTAAAAATTGTGTGGGGTGTAGGGTAGTTAAGAGAGAATATGGTGCAGTATGACAACAACAGTTGGAAATGATCACTCTGGACAACAACTGAGGTTGAATGTAGGTAAAGGGATATTTATAACAACATTTCAGCATCTGTATGGCAAACCATAATGCCTCAAATGAGAGAAAGAGAGGAAAGTAAGAAAGAGAGAGAGAACAGAGGTGTCTGCCATAGAGACAGAGGCAGACTGGATTTGGGGGCAATTAGGAGAGGTGGGAGGGAAACTGTGAACTTTGGTGCTGGGAAATGACACTGGTGGAGATATAGATGTTGGAACATTATATGATTGAAACCCAATCATGAACATCTTTGTAATGCTCTATTTCATGGTGATTCGATAAGATAAAGAAATTAACTAATGAAATTTAATAATTTTTTAAAAATAAAACATGAAAGAAATGTATTGTCCATTCACAAAAAAAACTGAAAGGAATTAAGAGAAGCTATCTAAAGTTAAGTACAGGAGAGTCATTAGGTTGTAACTAGTTACTAATTAAGACTTTAAGTGAACCAATAGTAAATATACACAAAGGACTAAGGCAATGCAGGGGTGCAATATAGAA